ACCCAATTTACAGAAAACATGAGGTGGGAGTGTGCTAAGTCACAGGGACCCAGCGGCAAAGTCTCAAGAGCAACCTCTGGACAAAGGATCTGCTGTGAGCAAGCAGACACAACACACACACTTTAACTATTAACCCAAGAGAAAGGAGATTTTAGGTCACTTGTTTTTAACGCCAAAGCATTCTTTTTGAGGGGAAAAGCAGACATCTCAACACCGCACAAAATCATTTTTCTATATGATAAAAATAACAGCATCTTAAACATCTATTTTTTACAGAGGCATATATGAAATTAAAGTTTTGAAAATGGTCCACCACCCACATATATGTCCTGAAAAATTAGTACTTTATTTTAAAAATATTAACATATAAAAACATGGGGAGGCCAGCAAAATGGCTCAGGATAAAGGTACTGGCTATCAAGTCTAGCAACTTGAGTTCAACCCCTGGAGCACACACGGTAGGAGAAGACAGACAACTCCCACAGTCTCTTCTGACCGCCACACTTGTGTCTGTACACACACACCCACACCCCAACACAAAACAGAAGCTGGAAAGATGACTGGGCAGTTAGAGCACTTGTTCATGCAAAGGATCTGGGTTCAATTCCCAGAACCTACACGGAGGTTCACAACTATCTGTAACTTCAGTCCCGGGGAATCCAACACCCTCTTTGGGCCTCCGAAGGGACTAGGCATGCACATAATATACATACACACACACACACACACACACACACACACACACACACACACACACACACAACACGTGTAGGCAAAACACTCATGAACATTTTAGATTAACAAGTCTAAAATAAACAAATATAAACAAACAAACAAACACACAATTCACTGGGAAGTATAATTTAGTGGTTTGAATGAGAATGCCTGAATGCTTAGTTCCTAGTTAAATTACTGGAACTGTTTGGGAAGGATTAGGAGGTGAGGCCTGTTGGAGGAGGTGTGTCGATGGGGGTGTGTTTGTTTCAAAAGTCCATGCCAGTCCCAGTATCTCTTTCTCTACCTGCTGGCCCTGGATGGGGATATAAAACCCTCAGCTACTGCTCCAACAACATGCCTGCCTGCTTCCCAGCATGATGATCACGGACTAACACTCTAAAACTTTAAGCAAGTTCTCTGTGAGTCTGGGGCCAACCTGGTCTACAAGAGCTAGTTCCAGGAGAGGAACCAAAAGCTATGGAGAAATCCTGTCTCGAAAATTAAAAAATAAAAAAAAAAATATGTGCTTCTTGGAATAGTAATCTAGTGTCCAAAAAAGACCATGAGAAATTCTAGAAATAAACAATTTTCTGGGGGGCTGGAGAGATGACTTGTGGTTAAGAGTACTGGTTGTTCTTCCAGAGGACCTGGGTTCCATTCCAAGCACCCAGCAATTCATAACCGTAATTCCAGTTCCAGGGGACCTGACATCATAGCTAACACTGATATTCATAAAATAAAAATAAATAAAAATTTTAAAAACCTGCAATTAACAACAACAACCAGTTTTCAGGGAGTTAACTATATAGCATGGCTCTCCAGTCCTAACAAAAGTTAGAATTTGTTATAAATAATGTTGCCTAGCATATAGGAGGGTCTAGGTACAGTACATTCAGTACACAGTAACATATACAATCATAAATGACATCACATATATTTTCAAATTTGTTATTTCTAGGCTCCTCTGTCGTTACAGAGCATGCTTGTATCTGCGGCACTTCAGAACAAAGCATCCCATTCTATAGGGACAGGGAGCCCATTGTTGTGCAGCACTTGTGACTGCCTAACGAGTTGATGAGCCTGTCCCTATGAAAAGGAAAAATTAACCCAACCTATATCACATGATAGCTGCTGCCTGCAAAAAAAAAAAAAAACAGAAGTGAAACCACCCGACCCTAAAACAGAGAAAGTAACAACCTTGCAGACAAAAACTGAAGGTAAGGCTGGCGGCAGCTCAGAGACAGAACGTGTGCCTAGCCTTCATGAAGCCCAAGTTAACCCCAGCTCTAAAACAAACAAGTGACTAATCCCCCTCGTCTGCAAAGGGACACAGCTGAGGAGGACATTATCAGGAGCCTTCTAGGCCACCAATGAGACAAAGGAGGCCAGCCAAGGCAACAGACTCCCAAGAGCAGAGAGGGCCAGTTTTGACCCTGTCTTTAAGCAAAAACAGTAGGAAAAAAGAAAAAGAACTGATCAGCAGAAACATTCGACAGTGTTTTCATCTAAAATTTGCTTCCCCCCCAGACAGTCCACATCCCAGCCAGGAACTCACTACACAGAACAAGCTAGTCTCGATCTCAGAGATCTCCCTGCTGAGTGCTTGGGCTAACAGCCTGCACCACTCTGATCCATCCATTGGTGCCCCAAAGAACGATGTCTCTAGCCAAAGGGGTTTTCCTTGCCATTTAAGGAAATATTAAAGTTTTAAAACCAGTAATGTTTATTTTTCTAAATAAAACATTTCCAGAACTCATTCAAGAAGAGGGTGGGGTTCCCAAAGGGATGGGGGGGTCCCCTCATTTCCTAGTCCTACCGTTTTCTAGCAGCATCTAACTCCGTGAATCGGAACTCTTGTATGCCCTTAGCCACTTGCAGATCACTTTCAATCTTGTGTTTTAGGGAAGGATAACTTTTTAAGTCATGCAAACAACACAGTCTACAATCACACACCCCCTCAGAGCTCCCCGTAGAGAACGGTAAACACTGCCACAGTGCACAATCACACACACCCTCACAAGCAGGTAAAGAATGGATAACCCTGGTAACGATGGTGATGGTAAAAGCAATTCTCATGAGAGATCGACAGGGAATCACCTGTGGGTTATGCCATTATCCCCAACAACCACCCAGAATCAGACAAGGTTGGAAAGGAGCCCCGAGGTCCATAACTCTGTGAGCCCAGAGCTGCTAGTGAAGTGGGGGAAGGAGCCTGCAGCTCCCACACATATCTTGGGCTCCTTATCACCTGTGAGCCTTCTCACAGGAGATCAAAGTCACAGGAACCTGTTCCTTTCAGACCCTGTCACGATGCACTCTTGCAGACTTTCATGGTCTCCCTGAAATCACCCACCTGCCAATGGTGCCGAGACTAATGAAAATAGAGAGGGCGGCTCCTATCCCAAAGACGGGAACAGGCCAGGACCAGGGGTGAGGTGTGCGGTAAGACTTCTGATAGGGCCACCATAATTTCTCTGGAACATGGGGAGGGGGCTGGAAATACTATGATTGTATGCTATATACATGATTTGTTTTATGAACCTATTATGTGGAGGAGTTAAGAGGCCATACTCAAAAACAACCTGAACCTACAGAACATTGAAAGAACTTTGTTCTCTGAGTTTGGATGATGTGTGTGTGTGTGTGTGTGTGTGTGTGTGTGTGTGTGTGTGTGTGTGTGTGTGTACGCGCGCACAACTTGCAGGAAGTAGGTCATCAGGCTTGAAGGTAGGTTCTAGTCCTCACTGAGCCACCTTTCTGGCCCTCGGGTAACTCTTTTGTGCTACTGCCCAATCTTCTGACGCCCAAGAATGCATAAAACACCCCAGCTTTTTTTGTCATTAGTCCCGACAAATAGTGAGAGAAAAGTTTTTCAATTTGGTTTTTCTGACCTAAAGTAATGACCCTTTCTCAAAAAGTCTAAAATCTAAACAATCATTTTTTACTTTCCTAAGTGAAATGGCAGCGCCCACAAACACGAGTGCAGTCTGTTCAAACCTCAGAGGAAGCTCATTTCTCCCCAAACCATCCTACGACCACCAATGCCCAGCTACTCTCAACTATTTATCCCCTTCACAAGGTGTGACTCCCCTCCGTAAATGCCGTGCTCAATTTACTCTCTAAGTCCTAAACCACCAAGTCTCTCCCCTAGCAGAATTCTAGTGCGAGATGGGAATGTAACGAGAATAACTGGATTGTGGCTACGCGGCGGGCAAAATACCCGGAAACGCCAAAGATAAACAACAGCCACAAGGTTTTTAAGAGATACAGCACACAAGAGGGGTTCTAAGAAAGATTCTAAACACAGACTTAGCTTAAGTAAACACTACCAGGGTTCAGGCACAGCGTGGTGGCCAACGTCTACAGTCTAACCTTCAGGAGGTAAAAGCAGGAAGATCAGAGTTCAAGGCCAGCCTAGTGTACACAGGACCAAAAAAGAATACACCGTTGGAGACCAGCAAATACGGATGCAGTTTAAAAAAAATGTTGCAGTGCTGGAGAGATGGCTAAGAGCACACACTGCTCTGCCAGAAGTTCAGTGTAACTCACAATCACCTGTAACTCCAGCTCCAGGGGGATCCAATGCCTCTGACCTTCATAGGCACCTGTACTTGCTGCCCATACTCTCTCATCTCTGTCTCTGTCTCTCTCTCTGACACACACACACACAGAGATATAATTAAAATAACAAATATAAATCCTTAAAAACACATTCCATGAGTCAGGCACAGCGGTGCACTTCTTTAATCAGTTGGTCTACAGAGAGTGGTCCAGGCTAGCTAGCTAGGGCTATATGGTGAGGCCCTGACTCCTTTTTTAAAAAGGGCTGTTTTTGTGCCGTCCCTGATGTACACCTCAACCTCACATTCTACAAACGGGTTTAATGTAATCCGATTTCTTTTCCCTGAGAGTTCTGCCTGATAAACACTAACAATGGGGGGGGGGGAGGCTGATATCTGAAGCCAAGAAAGAAACAGTACCAGAAGTAGATGACATGGGCCTGAAGCGTGCCTCCACCGCTAGAGCACTTGCTCAGCATACACAAGGTCCTGGGTTCGAGCCCCAGTCCCTAACGCACGCACGCGCGCGCACACACACACACCCCACTTTGTTTTCTCAGACTTAACTCAGGACAGTCTCATCTCACGTAGCTCTAGAGGCCTCAGTAATGTGTCAGTTAATTCCCTTGGAATTTGATCAGTACTTTGGTTATTAATAAACCCAAACCGTGCTTGGTAGACTATGAAGCCCGAAGTCCGCCTAGGAGGTTTCACTGTCCCAGAGAAACAAACAGATACTTAAACGCAGTGCCTCTCGGTGCAGCCAGAGAGAACTCCCAGCACGCAGACATCTTCAACCCCCTTGATTGTAATCCACGGCTAAGGATGCCTTCCTAACTCCTCGGAAGAGAAATCCTAAGTGGCCCTGAGAAGGCTGACATCTCAACATTGTTTCCTAGTCCCCTTCTTTTCTTAAGACTTCTCATTCTCTTCAGGCTGAAGCTCCAAACCGACTTCACCAACTTGACTAGGTGAGACGGTACCTACCTAACATGCTAATTCATGCTAACCGGTTCAAGCTCGTTTTTCTCCTCACACCCATGGATACCTTTCTACAAGACCTTCTGCCTCTCCTCCCACGGTAAGTTAAAATCTCTGGAAACCACACTGGGGCAGGCAAACGAAAACACAGGAGATAGTCTCAAAGTGAACTAGCTTTTCCCGGCCAACAAAAGGAACCCTGGCTCACTGCGAGCGACTCAAGATGTGACCAGAAGCTCCTGGAGAGTGTGCGGGGCGAGGGTGCCGGCGCGGGGAAAGCAGGGAAGACGGGAAATCAAGTCCTGTGAGGATCCGGGGTGCCAAAGCCTGGAGGCGGGCGGACGGGCGGGAGAGGGGCAAGTGAAGCATCATTAGGCGAGAACGAGAAGCAGCCAGGGCGGCGAAAGGAAAAGGGGTAGGGCAGGCGAGAGGTAGACCCCAAGAGCAAACTGACGAATCCGCGCCTTATAGGGGTTAGCCAGGGTCCCGTCCGAGTCTCTCACCAGAACGCCGCGTTCAGCCCCAGGCAGCACAGGGCGCTCCTGGCCGGCCGCTCCCACACCAGGGCTGCCTGCACCCGGCTCAGCAGAGGCTCGTAGGGCCCCAGCACCTCCACCAGGGCCCGCTGCGCCGCCTCAACTTGCTGGTCGCGCTCCCAGGAGCCGGACGTAGCTCGGCGGCCACTGAAAGCCACCCCCGAAGCTGCGCCCGGGGCAGCAGCCACCCCTTCGGCCTCCTCCATCTCCCCTCCAGCAGCCACAACATCCGGGGCCACGGCCCGGTAGTCACAATAACACCGACTGCGCAGAAGCGCGATTTGGCTGCGGAGGGGCGGGGGGGTGGGTAAGGCCGAATCGTCCCGTGCGCGCGCATGCGTACAAACGCTAGCGCGCAGCGCTGCGTCGAAATAAGTTCCCGACGGTGAGCGCGATCGGCAATCGCGCATGCGCAATCTGCATGACTGAAGCCCAATGAATGAGGAAATTCCTTGTGCAGAGCTTAGTTCTCATTGGAGCGGAGAAAGTTCAGGGGTGGAGCGGGTTGTTTGGCGCCTGCGTCTTGCGGCGAGCGCGCTAGCGGTCGGCGGCGCTGCTGGCGGGAGAGGCTGCAACGCCTCTGTCTGAGGAGCGATGCCGAGGGAAATCATCACCCTACAGTTGGGCCAGTGCGGCAATCAGAGTGAGCGAACCTCCAGACCCTCCGCGGGACCCTTAGATTCAATGGGCCCTCGCAACGAGATCCTAGATTCTGTCTGTTTTCATCTGTCCTTCACAGAATCGTACTCCCTCCTCCCCCAGAAAGGCGATCCCGACCCTGTACCCAAAGCCAAAGGGCCTTAGCCCATCCAGTCGCTGGGCTAGACACTAGGGAGGCGTAAGATTAAATTTCTGATCCCTAGACCCATGCGTTCCGTCTGTCACTGACTACTTGGAACCTACCCAGACCCCCGTATTCTTTTTATTCCCCGCCCGCCTCCCTTTCTTAGTTGGGTTCGAGTTCTGGAAACAGCTGTGTGCTGAGCATGGCATCAGCCCCGAGGGCATCGTGGAAGAGTTCGCCACCGAAGGCACTGATCGCAAGGACGTCTTTTTATACCAGGTGCCTCCCCACCATGACTGGATCAAGGGCAGCGAGCTGGTGCTGGGAAACTCACTGGGCAGGATGGGACCAGAATGGCTGTCTTAAGAAGGGAGGGCCTGCAGGAGCAGAGTTGGGAAGATGCAGGACTTGACCCATCCTGGCTTCCCTTTGGCAGGCAGATGATGAGCATTACATCCCCCGGGCTGTGCTGCTGGACCTGGAGCCCCGGGTGATCCACTCCATCCTCAACTCGTCCTATGCCAAGCTCTACAACCCAGAGAACATCTACCTGTCTGAGCACGGAGGAGGAGCTGGCAACAACTGGGCTAGTGGATTCTCCCAGGTCATTTGCTGTTCCCCCGAAGGGCTCTCAACTCACTGGGTGGGCACAGGCCCTGTGATGAAGCTGTCTCCAGATGAAACTGGGTCAGAGAGTAAGAGTGCCAGAGCAAGACAGACACGGCTTCAGGAGCTAACTGGAGCGCTAAGAACCCATTCTACCTAGTGCTGGGTCACCAGCCGTTCTAAGTACTTTATATGTTAGCTTCATAAACCTCTGAATAATCTTAGAAGTAAGTACTATGGATCTATAGTCTTACCTCCTTTTTCTTACTCAAATAGCTCTGATACCAAAAGATATTCCAAACTCTGCTTAGCAAAATCAACACTCAAAGGAGATAGGCTATGTTGATGTTTCCGTTCAGCTTACTGTCATTACTTGTACCTTTCCCTGCATTCATTAGCCTGTTTGATAATGCACCTCAGACCTCTATGGTTGTATTTGCGTCGTTTCTCTTGGTGGTTCCAGGTCAGAACCTAAGGCCTTACATATACTAGACAGACTTACACCACTGAGCTATAAATCCCCAGCTTTGACATGGTCTTTTTGCTTAATGTTAACTTATTTACTTTTTGTTTTGTTTTGTTTTGAGACACAGTTTCTCTGTGTAGCCTGGAACTCTGTTTGTAGATCAGGCTGCCCTTGAACTCAGATCCACCTGCCTCTGCTTCCCAAGTGCTGGGATTAAAGGTGTGTGCCACCACCTGGGTAATACGTGTTTTATATACGTATACATAAAACTACCTTTCAAAAACCTAAAATATTTTGATCCCTAAAAATACCTGACCTTCAAATTTTAAATAATGGACTGCGGGCTGTCTTTTACCTTCATTCTACAAATGAGGAAACTGAGGTAAATCTTCCCAAAGACATAACTACATAACTAGGTAGAAATGCGGTCCAGTAGTAGACGTGGGCGGGGCATAGCGCTCGATTAGTAGATCACTGTGTGTATGAAGCCCGGGCTTCAGTCCTTAGCAGCTACATAAAACTGGGCAGACTGGTGCTTAGTAGAGGTGGAGGCAAGGGGAGCGGGATGTCAAGGTTATCCTTGGCTAAATACAGAGTCTGATGCCAGCCTGGGCTACATGAAATCCTGTCTGCATTGTCGAGCCATTCCTAGCGCAAGCAAGGTCCTGGGAATGAAAAGCTGTATGTGAACAGATCATGTGGCTTGGGAGGCAAAGTACTTGCTTGTAAAGCGCGGTAGCTGCTGTGGTCCAAATAAGAATCAAGGGTGGCTATCATGAGGTCGTCCTCGTCCCATGCTCTGTCCTCTCTCACCCTTCTTCATGTCTGTCCAGGGAGAAAAGATCCACGAGGACATTTTTGACATCATAGATCGGGAGGCAGATGGCAGTGACAGCCTAGAGGTGAGTATCCCGGGATGTCAGTGGAGCTGGATACGCGGAGGCTTGGCCACGCTACTTAGAAATCAACCTGTTAGGGACCATGGAGATGGTTGAGCAGGTAGCAGTGCCTGTGCTTAAGCTTGACACACTGAGTTTGAGCCCTAAAATACGTAATAGAAGGAGATGACATCCTCTTGTCTCTACACGTACACAGTGGCACACTCATACACAATAATTATAATAATTTTTATTAAAGCTGCCTGTTAGGTATGAGACCCATTTGTTTATCCTCTGCATTAGACAGAAGCCACTGGGCCTTATTGAAGACAGGGCAGAATCTCCTAGGCAGTGAGGGGACTTGGGAAGACAAGAGTCTAGGACTTTGTGGGATATGTCTATCTTGAAACCCTGCCCCAGAACGCTAGCTAAGGAGATGGGTCAGTGGTTAAGAGCACTTACTGCTCTTTTTTTTTTTTTAATATTTATTTATTTATTATACAATATTCTGTCTGCTTATATGCCTGCAGGCCAGAAGAGGGCACCAGACCTCATTACAGATGGTTGTGAGCCACCATGTGGTTGCCGGAAATTGAACTCAGGACCTTTGGAAGAGCAGGCAATGCTCTTAACCACTGAGCCATCTCTCCAGCCCCAGCTTACTGCTCTTGTAGAGGACCTGGGTTCCGTTCCTAACACATGTGGCTCACACTCGTCTATAATTCCAGTTCTAGGAGACCTGGTGCCCTCTTCGGGCTCACACATGTGAGCACATGTATATTTGTGTGTGCATACATGCAGGCAGGCACATTAAATTCTGTCACTAAACACCAGGGCACTTAGAGCCTCTTTCCTTTGCAGGGCTTCGTGCTGTGCCATTCCATTGCCGGGGGGACAGGCTCTGGCTTGGGCTCCTATCTCTTGGAACGTCTGAATGACAGGTAAGCCTGTGTTTGGGGGAACTAGGTGAAGATAGGTCCTTTATTTTGTTTCCTAAGGCGCTCGGGGCTCAGCAGACATAGCTCCCTATTGGCTGGAGCAGTAAAGAGCCCTTCCATTCCCTCTTACTGTGAGGGAAGCGAAGTTACCCTGGGGAAACCCAATGATACTCCCAGAGTTCAGAGCCCGGGATGAAGGCCCTACTTTGAATGTCCGAGGATTTTGTCCAGGTTGGGAACCTAGGATTTTATAGTGTCTCTTCCCTTGCCATTTTGGGGTTTTAACTTTTCAAAACTTAAACCCAGCTTTTCTATGGCTTGTGGTCCCCTCCTAATTTGCCATTCACAGACAAATGCTTTTAGACATGTTGTGAAGGTTGATGTTCACCTAATCTTTAAACTTCTCCCAATGCCACCAGGTACCCCAAGAAACTAGTGCAGACATACTCAGTGTTTCCCAACCAGGACGAGATGAGCGACGTGGTGGTGCAGCCCTACAACTCCCTCCTCACCATAAAGCGAATGACCCAGAATGCAGACTGTGTGGTGAGCACTGGATTCTCCTTCCTACTCCCATCTTCCTGTCTGTCTCTCTTTTCATTTGAGCCCTCTTGTGGCTAGGCTTAAGAGTCCCTTGTAGGGGCTGGAGAGATGGCTCAGTGGTTAAGAGCACCGCCTGCTCTTCCAAAGGTCCTGAGTTCAATTCCCAGCAACCACATGGTGGCTCACAACCATCTGTAATGAGATCTGTGCCCTCTTCTGGCCTGCAAGCAGAGTACTGAGAATACTGTATACATAATAAATAAATAAATCTTAAAAAAAAAAAAAAAAAAGAGTCCCTTGT